AGACTTGCCAAAACCAGGCAAAAATCATTAACTGCTCAAAAACATCCAGACAGGCGAGTGGTGCAAAGCCGTGCTGAAAGCGATGGGATGCCGGCACTTCTGGGAGTGGGACTGTCCTGGCAGGCTGCTTGGCCGCGATTTCTATCCAGAATAATAAACTCAGCGATGGTTTCCTTATCACTGTGCGTTCATTCACCGGAGCCACAGCAAAGACATTACTCAGAATCATGGAATCGTTTAGGTTGGAAAAGACTTTTAAGATCATCGAGCCCAACCCTTCCCCTAACCCTGCCATCCCACCACTAAACCCTGGCCCTAAGCACCTCGTCTGCCCGGCTTTTAAATGCCCCCAGGGATGGGGCCTCACCCCCCTCCCTGGAGCAGCCCCTCCCAGTGCCTGACAGCCCTTGCAGGGAAGAAATTTTTCCTGATGTCCAACCTAAACCTGCCCTGGGGCAACTTGAGGCCGTTTCCCCTCGTCCCATCGCCCGCTACCTGGGAGAAGAGGCCGACCCCCACCTCACCGCCCCCTCCTGTCAGGCAGTTGTAGGGAGCGATGAGGGCTCCCCTCAGCCTCCTCCTCTCCAGGCTGAACATACGCTTCACATGCTTTACAGGGAATGTTGTCCTGCCGGCGGCTTAGCGCGTAGCCTCTCCCGTTGTGAAGTGCAGCTCGTCCTTGACCTCCAGAAATTCCTTCCAGCCAACAGTTCTGTGACTCGGTAGTGATCCTTTGTCTTTTCCCGTGGCAGGGCCTTGGCCCGACAGCTGCCGGTTTTGGAAGTTATTTCCCTGTCCTGGACTGACTCCGAGCCAAAGGAAATAAAGCTGGCAAGATCCTCCAGATCGCTGCACTGCAATATATCCCCTGCCGGGGCCTCTAGAAGGGACGCAGCGCAGGAGTGAGCCACCCAGCATCCCTGCTCGCGGCGGGGCGGCCGGCGGCAGCCCTGGCCCCGTCCCCTCCAGCCTGCTGGGTACCGGGGCCGAAGCAGGTCCAGGACGGCGACAGACACAGACTGCAAAGCCAAAAAATGAGACCTGGAGAGGAACCACACGTGCCTGAAGTACGATTCCTTGACAGTTTTCCTCCTGATGTGACACAGCTCGACCTCTCCCTCTTCCAGGCACAGCCAAAACCCTCCTCTGAGGAAGCGATTTAGGCAAAACAAGAAAACAAAACCAAACTAACCCGAATTATTTCTCACTAACACTCCATTTTGAGACCCCGTATTTATTCTCCGATGCCCAAGAAGGAGATTCAGCCTGCTGGGTTTTAATTCTTTATTTTAAAATGTTTTCACAAGTAGCAAAAGTTTGGATTTTTTGAGTGGAAAACCCCACAGAATCACTATTTTAAAAATGGCTATAAAACGCATATACCAAACTAACCCGAATTATTTCTCACTAACACTCCATTTTGAGACCCCGTATTTATTCTCCGATGCCCAAGAAGGAGATTCAGCCTGCTGGGTTTTAATTCTTTATTTTAAAATGTTTTCACAAGTAGCAAAAGTTTGGATTTTTTGAGTGGAAAACCCCACAGAATCACTATTTTAAAAATGGCTATAAAACACATACGCTTCTCCAAAGATTTGTATCAGGATAGAAAGTAATATAAATATATATGTATATATATAAAAATAAATGATTTGGTACTAACAGATTCCACTAGGACAATTTCAGTGAGGGAAAGAAACAAAATGGAAAAAAAGGTAACATCACAATTTTGTAAATCCCTCTTTTAACCAGCGTTCAACATTTTGACCTTCCACTGAGCGGGAGGGAGGGGGGGGAGAACCACACCTGCCACTGAATCGTGTGTAGGGTAACTAGATTTTACATCGCTCACAGATGTCACGCTTCATCAAGCCACCACGACAAGATAGGAAACCGTCAGAAGCGCATGAATTCTGTTTTTCACATAGAAGAGGATACATATTTAAAGCAGGTATTTTATGTTTTAGAGCTGTTGCCTGACTTTACCCCAAAACAATCATTTTACCCTACGAGACCATTGTAAGTGCCTGTAAGAAAGCAACGGTCTGACAACAGCGTTACTTGCCCGGCATCCGAGCCAGGGGGACAGAAGGGCCACGGCACAGGGAGCTGGGCGCTAACGAGATCTCGCCGGAGCACCGACATCTTTCACCATTATTTGGGATATTGCATTTATCTACTGGAAGCCAGAAGATGTAAAAATTCAGCTCTCATCCTTCCCGTGCAAGAACCTTCCCCGTTCAGCGATCCCCAGATCACCTCCCACAAAGCTGAGCGTTATTATTTGTGCCGCGCTTCTTTTCTCCTCGTTTGCGACATCCCAAGTCCCAAACCACCCGTCAGGACTCGCGCAGGGGACACCGCACGAGGTTCAGTCTGCCGAAATCCTCACTATTTTGGGCATAGCCACCTTAGAAGAGGGTGCAAGGGGCAGAGGAAGAAAACCCACTCCCCTTTTCCCCACCCCGGCCGTGACAGCGGGCCAGCGCGCAGCCGGTCCGTCCCTGCCTGGCTCCTCCATCCCAGGATCCCTGGCAGGGCGCCGGCACGGGCCATGGCCTCCCTCTAGCGCCTGCAGCCGCCTGCGCCCGTCCTCCCCCCAGCCAGTTACCAGAGTCCTTTCACATCCCGAAACAAGAGGAATCTGGTTTGGTCCTGCGAGTAATGACCCGTAATTAATGTTTATAGACACTCCAGAGTATGAGAATTCGCCGAGCCTCAGGAGCGCCTGGGGATCAAGCAGCCTCCAGAAACTCTTCTATAATTAACATTTAACAATTTATGCAGAAACCCCGAGGCAAGCAGCTGTCTCTGCTTCTGCAGGAGAGGCCTGAGGGCGACAGGACATGAAGACGAACTATTTAGAAACCCATCATCAGCTTAACTTTTCCCCTCCCGTGCCCACGGACTTCTCTTACTTGTTCTAGCAAGAAAGAGAGGTGCAAACGTCACCTTGGCACGACAGCAGCAGTTGTATTTGTAGGAGGGACCGAAAAACACCCAGCTCGTGGGCCCACCCAAAAATGGCCCCCCCGACACTAATGTGAGGTGCGTGAACAAGCTTCACCGTGTTCGGGTCAAGGGCTGGCTGCTCTCAGCCGGGAGGAACCCGTGATGGTGGGTGAAGAAGAGGCAGGAGCAGACAATTCCGTCTGCCCCCGTGAAAGTGTTAAAAAAAAACCTAAAAAAAAAAAAAAAAAAAAAAAAAAAATTAAAAAAAAAAAATCACATCCGGATGCAACCTTAAAAATGCAAACTAGCGAAACGTTAAGGCGTAAAATCAACGAGTCAGTGGCAGAAGGAATGAACGAAGTGGCAGAGTTCAAGCAACTGCAGACCCATAAGCAAGATTCTTCTCTTCCCAATTTAGAAAGTAAATATCTACTGTAAATCCGTTTGAGACACCAACGGGTTGCTTTAAAACGCTACTTTGGGCAGAACCCTGGCCCCTCACGCTCTGCAGGACGCAAGGCTCAGTCCAACAAGCACAGCAGTATCAGCGCTGCTCCGAGCCTCAGTCACAGAAGCACATTCATGATCACGGGGGTTATTAAAATACGCTCCTTCCTGTTAATGTCACATTAGCCTTTAAACAGCCCAATCGATAATTTAATACACTCTTTATTCAGTATTTATCCCTGCACCTTTGAGGCATGCCAAAAGCTGATGGCTTTTGGAAGGCCCTTAAAGGTGAAACAATTTAATCATAGAATCACTTTGGTTGGAAAAGACCTTTGAGATCATCGAGTCCAACCTTTAACCTAACCCTGCCATCCCACCACCGAACCCCGAACAGCCCAATCGATAATTTAATACACTCTTTATTCAGTATTTATCCCTGCACCTTTGAGGCATGCCAAAAGCTGATGGCTTTTGGAAGGCCCTTAAAGGTGAAACAATTTAATCATAGAATCACTTTGGTTGGAAAAGACCTTTGAGATCATCGAGTCCAACCTTTAACCTAACCCTGCCATCCCACCACTGAACCCCATCCCTCAGCACCTCGTCTATTCATGTCTGGACCCAACAGTGCACAGCTCTGTTCCTGGCCAAGTCAATGAGCAACAGCATCCTGCACCTCCTGCAGCAAGGACTTTCACTGAAAAAAAATCTATTTTAAGACTGAATTTATACCAAAGAAAGTTTCTATTGTAAACATTGAAGAAGATCTAGGAATTTAAAATGCCGGTATAAGGTCAGTTAATCAAATGTGACCTAAACGGCGAGGGATGTGACCAACACGGTACAAGAGCCTGTCTTTCCTTACGCTTCTTGCTTTCAACCAGCAAAAAGTAACCACGTAGGGCAAATCTGAGGCACCGCCTCAGGAAGCACTAGCGACAAGGGGTTTACCCTGTAAATGAACACAGGAGAGGAACACTGTGATAGAACTTCATGAGGAAAACATCCCCAGAAAATAAACCAAGCTCACTAATTCTGCACTAGTTATAATTACAAGGATAATTGCTCTAATTCTGCAGACATTGCTAAGAATAATGGCAGAACCGTTCATTTCTTTGCAAACAATTAAAATACGCTTCTGCTTTTCTCAAAGCAAGGACCGAAGGAGACTGTCTACCCTCAGAAGAAGGGTGGGCTGGGGAGAGCCCACACGCACTCCCCCGCGCTGCCCAGCAGCAGGGCTGCGGCGCGGGGCAGGGCGACATCGTCCCTGGCAGGGCAGGCCGGGCCCCGCTGACAAGGCTGCCAAAATCCATCGCTCTCATGGCGCTGTCCGTTCACAAAGCAGGGAAAGGAGCCTGAAACCTCAGCTCCTGCAGGTCACCAGGCAGCCGTGGGATTTCACTGGCATTTAAAAAAAAACCCCACCAACCCTAGATGTTACGATAGCCATTAAACAGCTTTTAAAATAATAGGAAACATTTGCTTAAGAAAGCCTGCAGCTTGAGGCTCCGAGTTCTTACAGAATGCTTACAACAGAGCCTTCTTGTACGAGAGGCTGAGTTTTTAATGTATACGTTCTCTATTTTCAGTGAAAGGGCGTGCTACCCGAAGCGCTGGGTGCTGCTGCTGACTGACTTGAGCAGGAACATCCCCACAGTTGCTTTATTTCCCATTCCGAGTTATAAAAAAAGTGCTAGAGAAAATTCTTTGCTCCCGGTCGCAGGCTCCAAACACCGATTGGAAGGATGCAGGTTCTGAAGTGGTAAAAGCCCCCGCATGAACGACACCCACAGCCCGAAGGCACAGATCGCAGAAGAGTGCCTGGCTCTCGTGACTTTGCATCACGGCAGCATGAGGGATTTTGCCAGTCTCGTCCAGAACCACTTTTTGGTGCAAGGATTGGTGTAGTCACAAATTGTAATGAACCGTAAGATACTTGGGAACTCGTTCTTCATGGTTTTGCACTTGACTGGAATCAGCCGTTTGAGACGAGCACCTGAAAAGACAGGCCACAGGCAGAGGATTAGAGCGCCACAGGCAGACCCTCTACCCATTTCCTCCCCACAGCAGCACACACATCGCAAGATCCAGGTTTGCTCCCGATTTTGTCTCCCCACGTTATAATGCAACTCGCTTTCACCCCGGAGAGCAAGTTTCGGAACCCCAAGCCCTCTGCTAAGAAGATTTTGCTCAAATACATAGCAGGGCCCCATCTAGCATGCGCAGGGCAGCGGGCGCTGATGGGAGCGATAAAGGCCTAACGAACCACGGGCATAAAAGAACAGAGCACAGTTTCTTGTGGAACGCAGTCAGGAGTTTACGGTCCCGACTGCTTCCAGCTGTGTATGAAGAGCAAACCGAGAGACTAAGCTGCTTCTAGATGGTCAGCTTTGCTGGGCTCTCTCCAGTTCTTTTTCCTCCTACCCTGATTCTCTCTGGCTGCAGACAGTACCCACCGATTACAAGGGGCTGCGAGGAATCACGCTGCTAACAGGAACTGCTTTTTTTGAGGCATGCGCAGTGTCAGAGAACCCTCCCTGTGATTGCCACCGCTCGCAGGAGCAGCTCTTCTAAAGAGGAACCTCTCCCCTTACAGTTCTCCACAGGGACACCCACTACCAGCTGAACTACGCTGCCCAGCGCAAGTGATGACACCGAGACCTGGATTAGGCAAGAAACCAAGATTTTGTAACTGTGAAGCTCCCAGAACTCGCCACCAAACCCACGCAAGCAAGTAACTCCATGATTTCTGTAAGCCTGTACTTACACACGTTTTTTACCGGTGGAGCTCAGGTCATTACAGGTGGGCATTACTTTTCCTGTTGTTCTAATGAAAGATATGATGCCAACAAAAAGCCAGGGAAGAGCTAAAAGGGCTTTGCTACAAATCGTGATGATTGGGGGGTGATACAACGTGCTAGGGGTGTTCAATGGGTTAACAGCCATCATATGAAATTATTGTGTCAAGGAAGATGGAGCCAATTCCTAGCTCTGCCACTGGCTTCCAGTTTAACCTCTGGCACCTCACTTATAACACCACGTCAGATACCTCATCTAAAAAAATAACTTTACATGCAGACACTCCTACACGCGTTGCATATCCTCCATAGTAATGGGCTGTGCTGCACTTCCTCCCCAGCCACATACACTAGCGTAGGGTAAGTAGGGGTTAGAGATAAGCAATTTGAACAGATCTGACAGAAGTAAATTGATGTCTTTTCCATTCAGAACAAAATATGTAACAGATTTTTCTGATCCAAGTTGAACATTCATTCCGTATTTTGTTTACCTATCCACAATTCTCAAGGCTGTCTGCAAAAAGCTGCATGTTCATTACCTGCTACCCTACTCCCAGCATTTACTCACACCCTGAATTTATTGTAATACTTTTCTCTTTAGTAACCTATTTCCTGTCTGGATCTTAAAGCCCTTCACAAGCCTGACCGGCAGCCCCGACGTCTCTGAAGCAGGCAGCGTTTGCCCGCTCGGCAGCTGGAGCACTGAAGCACAGCTAAGCTGCTCGCTCGCGGTCACGCAGAAGGTCAACAGCTGGGCGAGGAACCAAGTCCAGGTCCCTGCCTGCACAACAAAAGTATAAAGCCACTGTTAGTTCTAATGGCTGCTTCTACCAGCGATAAACCTCTGTTTGCTCAGTGAAGGGCACTGCACGCAGGGCAAGCCCTGTGCCTGGGTGGACTTGCACACATGTGAAACGTGGGTCAGTGGTGAGAACCCAGGCCTGAGGCCCGAGTTACCGGTCCTGCAACTATCAGTTATTTATTTTCTCCTTTCTCGCCTGTATTTAATCTGTTTAAACACATCTCAGACTACCCCTCGTTCTGCATCTGTGCAGTGCCCAATAGTACGGCGCTGATCGCAGTTGGAGATGTTACTGTAATAAAAATTATAATGTTGATATTTGTGAGATCTTACCTGGGGAAAGACTAAGAGCAAATTTGGTCTGAAAATCACATTCATCGCTTTCCAGGTAATCATCCGAAATGACGACCACCATCCTCCGACACCTGAAAATAAAGCAGTCAGGGGAGAAAAAAATAAAATGTTAACAAAGATACTTCTTGTTCTCACTGGTAGAAGCCCGTATTCCTTCGAATTGCTCCAGTGGAGACATGAACCTGCCAGCCATATTCCAGCAGGAGTTAACTACAGAGCAAGGACTACTGACAGACAGATCACTACGTTACGCACAAAAACCTGATTACAGACACGTGCTCATATCCTAGAAATGAAGAAGTAGCAAAGTGCAGATTGTCTGTGCAATCTTTATTCGATCCTCTGCCTGTACACTACAAACAATGCCACCTTAGTTATCTGCGTACACGCTGCCTTCATTGACTGAGCACAGCCGGTACTTTTTAATATTAGAATGAACTAGACAGAGCTTTACTGTGCTCATATTACTGTGAATTCACCTGATTTCATAAATTTGAGCTTTGTTCTCCAATTTGTCGCTTACATTCATTTGAGGTGCCTGGTTGTAAACTACACGTTGGGCTCTTTACGGAAGGCTACGCTGTACAACAGCCAGGACAGCGAGGCCTTACAAGGGTCTCTGGTAACACCAAGCTACCGCCCTCTGAAAGGGCAATGCTGAAAACCCAAACACCTGCCTTGGGATTCTTCACTCCCGATCTGGGGAGTCGCTTTTATGTCCCACAGCTCCCACTACGCCCCAGTCCTGTGTAGGGCTGAAGGATCCTTGAAGTCAGAGCCAACACCAGTGCTGCCCCCTCAAACTCCACACCGTGGGGTGGAGCTAACTCAGGCTGGAGCTGTATTCATTTCCAGATCACCTCCAAGGATGCAAATGCAGGGTATTCCAGCCAAGAGAAAAGGCATCGAACATAAGCAGCTTCACTAGAGTGACATCTTCCTTGTGAACGCAATGAAGCGACATGTTTGGGAATGTTCGAGTCTTCCTTCTGGAGCCAAGAGCATCAATCAAACCTCATAAAGACATCCTTGTGGATTTTTACTGCTTTACTGGCACCACACTGCAGACCTCACGGTAAAATGAACGTAATGTTCCATTACACACAGCTGTCCCAAAGAGCCACGGTTCACTCACCTCCTTTCTATAAGTTCTCCACTGATGGACCACACACACGTTCCTGGCAAGACATCCCGGTCGAATACACAGAGCTTCAGTTTGAACTCTGTTTGTTCCAGCTCCCTGATCATCTCCTGGACAAACTGAAGGTCTTTCTGGCAGTAGCAGATAAAGGCATCAAACATCTCCGTCCCGCTCCCTGAAACCATTAAAAATTGAGCCATCATCTTCTACTGTAAATGAAGTTACCTCCTGTAGTGAACCTTCAGTAGCTCCCCACAGGCTTTGACTGAGAACCAGGAGCTTTGGCAGACAAGCTCTGGCCAAACTTGCGAAGGTAATTTAACATTTTACCAGACCAGCTACCCCTCAGCCCGTGATAGGGCTGGCAGGAGGTAACACACCTCTGTGCCTTGACCGCTTTGTTTCACAGTCCGGGCCATGTGCATAAGCCCACATTTGCTGGCAGTGGTTAGGGAAGGGCAGCTGAGATGCAGGCATGCAAAATCCACAGAGGCAGTAACACCCAGCCAGAGGGAAGGTGAGGGAGACAGAGCCTGGGAAGAACTGGAGGGAGCAGAGTTCCCCAGAGGATGCAACTCAGAGCCCTGATGCTCTGGGAATTCACTGGGAATCACGCATCTAAAATATCCTTGTCGCTCTGGGTCCTGGTTCTCTACTTCAGGTCAGAGAGATTCAAACTGCCCAACCAAAACCTTCCTGCAGGCCCTTCATCCAGCCACGTCCTGACATCCGCTGTCCGCTGAGCTATGAAGTAGGCCTTGAAATTTGGAAACTGTGATTTTTATGGCTAAGATGTCAAACCTAGGTACCTGAAGTCATATGCTAAGTAAATGGCCCTGTATTCCAAAGATGTTAATGGCTGGCAGCTCTTGCTTATTTAGCACTTATCCAAACATTAAAGTGCTATACTTTAAGGGCAACGTTTCTCATAATTAAGTGCCTTAATACTATTGGATAGTTTCCCACTGTGTTATTTTTTTTTCTGTATCAATGTCAGTACATATATTTTCAAGTTTTTATGCCAGTTAAAACCTACCACAGCGAAAAACTAGGTCAGGCTCTAAAAGCTGCTGAGAAGAAGTACCAACCCGGCAGGCAGATCCAGCCCAAGAAGCATCCAGTCAAGCAGAAGAGCAACTGTCTGCCAGGTCAATCAAACTGAGGGTACTGCTTTAGGGGCACAGCACTAACTTGGGAGTCGCATCAGGCAAAGCTGCCAGGTACAAAGACCAGCATATTAGTCGATGGACATTTGGAGAGGGTTAATGATGTCCCCCCGTACAGCAAAGGTGGCCACCCAGAGTCAGATTAGGCAGAGGAGCATCAGGAGAGGGGAGCTGATGCATCTCCATTCAGCTGCAGCTGCTGCTCTGCCTGCCACAGAACTTTTTAGGATGCCTGCAGCCGCGCAGGGATGCACACAGACGGCTGTGCGCACAGCCCGGCGTGGTCAGAAACGCAGACAACTCCGCAGGCAGCCCAGCACGCAGTTGCACACGCACACGACTGCACATGCAGAGCTGCACGCACAGCCCGGCAAGCACACACGGAGGGAACGGTGTTTCCTCTCTCCCCGCTTCACACCCAGCCGTACTTCAAACCCCGCTTCCTTTTTATTCAAGGCGGTTAAATCCACCGAAGACGGGGCAGCGTGGCCAAGGCAGCCAGCTCTGACATCCTTCCCCCTTGACTCCAACCCACTGTGCTTTCAGCAGCTGTTGCTCTGTGCCAGGCTCTGCTAAGGGACACATTTTTGGGAAGTCTCCCCCCCACATGTCCAGTGGGCTCTGTGCCAGCCTGTTTCTGGGTACGGCGTTCCCCAGGGTTGCTTTTTCCTCCCTACCCTATGAAAGAGGAAAAATGAAAATACCTGCAGACTACCAGCTAAAGCGTTCTGGCCTCGGTTATGAAAAGTCACGGGGAGTAATGAAAGCAAACAGGTTCTCTGCACTTCTCACGGGGATCTGCTACAGCTGAAGGCAATTCCAACGTGAGGTATCACACAGCAATGTAATCGTGGGCGCTTACCGTACGGATCATCCCTGGTGGTGATGCCCATCAGTTCCGACGTCCTCGGCACGCTGCTGTCTACTGCTGGCACTTGAAGCGGCTGGTCGGCCTGCTCCTGCTTCCTTTGCAAGTACTTCTTACAGTCCTCCTCTGCAAAAACACACAACCAATGCAAGAGCCTCCTCTGACAGTGGTTTTACACCACTGGAGTTCTTGAGAAGACAAATAGCAATTTCATGGGTTAGGGATATCAGAGGGAAAAAACCCTGTATAGGTTTTGGTACCCGTTTACAGACCTGACATCCTGGAACTTCTCTCACCCTTTCTTGAACCCCTTGATGCTGCCTCCACCACCTCCTCTAATAATTAATTCCCGAAGTTCACTCTTGCTGTGTAAAGAAGTACTTAGTTGCATTTGTTTTAAACCAATCTCCTCCTATTATCCTTAGTTTTAGTATATCCCAGTACGCTTGAAACGGCACGCATCATGTGCCTCACAGGTCTCAACTCTACTGTCTGCCCTCGTTATGGAGTATTTAAAATCATCAAATAACTGAGGGTGGGTGGGGAATTCTCAAGTAGATGTCTTCATCTTGTCTTTTACTAATAAATGTCAACTCACATTAGCTGATTCATGCCACCGGCTTTTGTCAGACAGAACTGGAGGTGATGATGAGTACAGACACTCACCACGAACAGGAGGACCATGTAAAATTCTAGCGAGCCCCTGAAATGGGCTTTATATTGCACGACAGCTGGTGGAGATCCTCCTTGGCTCAGGCAGAGTGGGTGTGTACGTCCCCTCTGGGATAAAGGGGGGGCCAGCAGGCCTGCCACGTTGGCTGTGGTGAACTTCCCAAATGGGACAGTGATGGACACAGATCTATTATAAACAGATTTTGTTTAAAAATAAATGATAAATCTAAATGTAAAGTCTTTGGAGAAGTGACAAGAAAACCTGCAGCCTCTGCCACTCTGCAGTATGCAATTACAGAAGAACTTGAAAGTAAAAGGAGATTTGAAACCAGGAATTAACAAAAAGGTGAAACACCCGAGAACCTTCTCCTTCACTTAAAATTAACCAAAATACAAGTATCAATCACGAAAGTACTGATCACTCCGAGGGTTTTGCTGGCAGAGCTATGGAAATCGCCAGTACAACAGCAGCAGAGTCAAGGATGTCCTGGAAGTGCAGGATGCAGGTGGGAGCCCTGCTGTAACACAGCCCTAATTGGCATCCAGAGGGTCTGCAGGAAGCCCAGCCCCTGAAGCCCCATCCTCTGCTTCTGTCTCATAGTTTTGCATCTCATGACTGGATTATCCCCCATCTAATAAAGCATCAGATCTGATCAAAGCTTTTCCCGAGGCGGAGGCATTCCCAATCCGCCTTTCTCTTCCCCCTTCCTCCTCAGTCCTGCAGCGGAGAGAAGACTCAGCGGCGTTCTCCACCAGCCAGAAGGTTCAGATTTCAGAGGTACTCCCTCACTGAAGCACAAACTCGCGTCCCACCTCTCCGCCAGCTGCCCATTGCCGTGAGGCGTGTACATCTCGTGCCAGATAAGGCAGCATCCTTGAAATCGTGATTAAAGCCACTTTAAATTGGCCAACCATTTCAGCAGCTGAGTGCTCAACACAGAAATGTTCATTTTAAAGGTATTTGCTCCATGTCTTCTCTCCGTGTTTCTCCCACCTGCACAGAGTGGCATCCATGCTGGCCTGACCTGCGTTTTTCTGTGTCGGTGCCCAGAGCTCATCACCACACCGCTCACGGCTGATGCGCAACGCTCACCAACGCAAGCGTTCTCCCGATACACCTAGTTGAGCTGACGTGCACAGTTTTGATGGCACCAGGCTGTAATCCCAGACCCCATTTAGCCCCGCAGGATAAACCTGAGAGCTGGGCAAAGCTTTCAAAACAAAACACCGGAGCCTCATGGTTTTATTACCAGTGCAAACTGGGGGCCCTATCGTGCTGCAAGTGCCAATAGGTCCAGTGAACCTGGAAGGCTGAAAGACATTCAGCGATTTGGCGTGGATTAGTCCCCAGCTGGTAACAATGCCTGACCGTACAAGTTAACAAGAGCGAACGAGGGTCAGAGATGACTTTGAAGGCCCATCAAGAAAAAGGATGCAAACCAACACAAAGAAGTAGCAAGAAACCTCTCCAAGCTAAGATGTCCCAGCACTGCACTAGGGCAGGACAGCCTTTACACTCCTCTAATGGTCAAACAACAGCCTGAGGTATCAGAGAGAAAGAAAAAAAAACATGAAACCTAAAGTGGGAAATTATCAACACGATGAGAAGAAAGGAAACAGACCCAGCAACTGTCAAGCAGGAAGGCAGCGCTTTTATAACAGGTCAGGAGGAAACAAAAATCATTGC